CATTCCATATAGTTCCTCCTCAAGTACCACCAGGAACTCAGAGCCAGGGTGTGGCCCAAAACAAAAAGCAAAAACAAATCAAACAGTAACAACAAAGATAAACAAGCTTAAGTACTAAATATTTGTTTACATTAATTACTTTATGGTAAAAATCAGTTTGTCATAGTTTCCCATTGATGTTCCGATGTCTAAGTAACATTACCTTCTGTTACATTAATTAAGGACTTATAAAGTAGAATTATATAGTCCAGCAATCATATTGCTAATTATACTGAAGAGAAATAAAACATACATAAAAGCTTGCTTGAAGTGTTCACAGCATCACTGTTTGTAATAGTTCCAAAATGGGATCAACCCAAATATTCACCAACAAATAAATGTTTAGACAAAATGAAATATATTCATCATAGAATATTTTTCATGTGTAGAAAGGAGTAAAATATAAGTCACACTACTGTGTGACATACCCTGAAGACATCCCACTGTGTGAAACAGTCCTACATAAAAGGTCATGTATTATATGATTCATTGATATGAAATGCCTAGAATAGGCAAATTCACAGAGATGGAGAATAAAGCAGTTGTGGCCAGGGGTTGAGGGGTGAGCAGAGGTGGGGGAGATTGTGAGTGGCTGTTAATAAATATGATTGTTCTGTGAGATGATGGAAAGAGGTTTGGAATTAGATGACAGAACTAGTTGTAAAACATACTGAATTTCTTAAAAGTCATAAGAATGTGCAGTTTAAAAAGATGAATTGGATGGTATGTGAAGTGTATTAGCTGAAAAATAGTGCCAAAGTTAAATTTCTTATTCTATGGCATGTTATCTTTTGACCCACACAACTATAATGAAGTAATTAGAAAGAACTATTTAGCACAAGACCTCCCCTCTCCTCTCTGGTAATTGGGTTGTTTCTTGAAGATTTGTGTTTATATTGATACTGCTAGCTGGATAATATTTGTTATCCATAGTTCTGAGCATTATGTGGAAGTGAAATATTTTGTTGATTTATTTTCTATCCTTAGTCTTACCCAGAAGCTGCTAAAAATGTGCCATGTACATCTTAAAAGTAAGTTTATGGGGAAGGTAATACAGATACTCCATATTCTCTGTTGGATCCGAAGCCAGTCCCACTAAACTCTGTTCTGATACAAATTATTCCAGTTAAAGATGATACTTGGATGTAGATTACACACCAAAGCTCTTCAGAAAATAAGTCACTCACAAAATGCCATGGACATATTTTCTTGGGATTTATTTTTGTTCCTTTTCTGAAAAGCAAATCAATTTCTCCAGCTCTAGATTCATAGTTTGGATTCTTAGCCCTAATATTTAAGTAATATGCAGACTTAATTACACAAAATTTAAAATAAATAACTATAAACTGGTGCCCATTTATTTCTTCAGAATTTTTTTGGTAATAACAGTGAATGCTATGAATTTAAATGTAAATAATATATATTTAAATATTTGTCTGTTATATTCAACATATATTGCATATATAAAATATGTCTGTATTTAAACACACTACATACAATAAGTATCACATAGGAGATCAAACTCTAATCCTATGCCACAAAGAAGACCATTATTAAGACTTGATGTAGATAGGTCATAAAAAGCCCAATGTCTATATTAATAGATACTGGATGAGAGCGGCTTGGAACACCTTCAAGAGCGTGGAAGAAATAGCTAAGAGGACAAAGAACCTCCAGCTCTGGGCACATCTCTTCTATTTCACTGTTCTTACTGCATTAACATACGCCTCAGAGACCTGGGCCCCACGAAAACAGGATGAGAACGCTATTTGGGTCTCCCAAAGAGGAATTGAAAGAGCTATGCTTGGAGTATCACGCTTCACTCAAATGAGAGAAAGAATCCGGAGTTCCAACCTCTGTCAACGGTCAAGAATTGGGGACGCTGTCTCGTTTGACAAGGCGTCAAAAATCAGATGGGCTGGACACGTAATAAGATTTGGAGACAACTGCTGGACTAGAGCCGTTACCTACTGGATTCCATGGGACATCAAAAGATCGCGTGGCCGCCCACCTACAAGATGATCAGACTTCTTCGTCAAGACCCTGAACAATCAGTTTGAGGCTGTTCGTGTTCCCAGAATGAACAGATGCCATTGGGCTACACTAGCACGCGACAGGGACAAATGGAGGCATTATTGGCGCCCGCTTGAGCAAATTGATGAGTAACGGGATGTCAAGTGATCAAGTGATCTATATTAATGATTCTCAACTCTAGATAGTGTTTCTCTCTGGAGTCATTTGGCAATGTGTGTGCCACTATTTTGGTACTTTGGTGTCTCTATTGGGGACAAGAGGAGTGATGGTGGGGATTCTAAGGGCAACTGATTGTGGAGCTTGAAATGGTGTTTAGCCTGTAGTGCTGGACAGTGTTGCAGTGAATGCCTGACCCTAAATATACACAATGCTGCGGGTATGAGAGACGTATGTGTTTGCTTAGGTCACAGTCTTGAACATGTTAATATTCCAATTTTAAATTGCAAACATACTGTCCAAGTCAACTTTTCCAAATAAAATTGATACCAGTTTACATTTCCATAAACAGTCCATGAGAATGCCAATTTTCCCATTCTCATGCCAGCAAGGTCTCTCCTTTATATTTTTCTTAACTTCCTAGCTACAAACCATTTTTTCTTTTTTTAAAAAAATTTGTACTTCTTTGTCAGTAAATTCAGTACTTTTTTTATCTGTATGATAGCTCTTTGATGTCTGTGAATTTTCTGTCTAATCACCATTTGAAAAATGCATTTGTTTACTTTTATTGATTTAATGGATATTTGTACATATTGAGCATGCTAATTATATTTCTGCCATATGTCGCATGTACTTTTCCCAGTCTTTTTTTCTGCATTTTATTTTTATGTATGATATATCTTGTCTTAGAAGTTTAAAAATAAATTTGTAGTTTTTTTGACCCTGCCAATATTCACCTTTGAAGTTCCTGATCACTCTTTTGTGTGTGGCAATGCCATGGGTTGAACTCAAGGTGTCTCACATGTCAGACCTTCCCAGACTCAAAAGTTTCTAATTTTAATATAATGCTTGGAAAATTCTTTTGCCCTACTCTCTTTTGATTTTCTTGAAATAAATGCATAATCGTTGATGTTTATTTTTCTTAAAAAATTAAAAAGAATTGAACCACATCTGGCAGTCCTGAGGGCCTACACCTGGCTCTGTTTTCATTTCTGGGTGGTAGGGTGTCCACATGGGGTGCCAGGGATCAAGCCAGTGTCAGCCTCATAAAAGAGAAGTGCCTTACATGCTGTACAGCTTTATTTTAAAATTTCCCCAAAATTTTAACAAATACTGTGACATTGTGGCTATACTATAAACACCTGCCACTTCAGTTTTTTTTTTTCTGTTTCATTGGGTAATTTTATTTTCAACTTCTCTTTAGCTATCTATCTTCCTATCTATTTGCATTTCCTTTTGCAAGAGAATGTTTAATTTTGAAAAGAAAGCATTTGACATCAAGAACTTGATCAAATTAGTCAATATTATTACTTCTATTAACTTCAATTACACTGCCTAGAGAAAAATGTTTTCACTCATTGATTCATTCAGGGTTTATTTTTGGCCTCAGTTGGCAGGGCTGGAGGTCACTCCTGACAGTGCCTGGGGACCCTGCAGAGCTGGGGATGAACCTGAGCCTTTTGCTTGCAATGCTCGTGCTCAGCCCCCAAGTTATTCCTCTGGCACCCAAAGGAGAAATTCAATAGAGCACTTCTGTATGACCTTGGGAACAGTTTCCTCTTTTTGTTGTGTCAGATATCAACAATGTATTGCAGTAGTTTTAATACATATGCTGTAGATGTAACCATATGCAGAAAATATATAGTTGTGTCAGAAAAAAAATCGAAACTATTCAGTGACAGTGAAGGATTGAACAAAATTATGAGTAAGGCTGGGAACTGTTAATAATTGATCGGCTCCATGCAGTTAGTTGTCACAGGTTGAAGAAGGGCCCAGTCCTCTGTAACTGCGGTTTGTATGAATAGATAGTGAAGCTCCTCAGAGACAGATAAGCCCATGACTCACAAAATACACTTTGAAACATGATGGCACAGCTACAACCTTAACAGATAAAGTATTCCTTTTGGGGTGGGGAGATGCTCCCCAGCAACGCCAGAGAGCCTAGGCTTATTCCTGACGACACTTGGCCTGACTTCTTAGGTGCTGGGGTTGATTTGGTGCTGAAGCCACAGTGTTGCCCAAGTATTGCAATGCTGGGGGCCCTCAGGACCACACTGACAGTGCTTGGGGACCACGTGGTGCCAGGAATTGGTTAAAACCTTAAGCATGCTGGATATGCCCTCCCACCTTCTGAGCTATCCCCTCGAGTCCGAGCACTAATTCTTTGTTGTTTTGTTTTCTGTGAACACCAGAACACTTCCAAGAAAAGGAATGAGTTTAGTGCATAGTAATGAAAAAGAAGTAGTACAGCGGGTAGGGCTCATACCTTGCATGTGATAGACCAGGGTTCAATCCCTGGCATCCCATATGGTCCCCTGAGCACTGCTAGGAGTGATTCCTGAGTGCAGAGCCAGGAGTAACCCCCAAGCATTGTCAGGTATGGCCCTAAATCAAAAATATAAAAAAGAAAAAAAAGAAGAGAAGGAAGGAAGAAAGAACGGAAGGAAGGAAGAAAGAAAGAAAAAGGAAGAAGGAAGAAAAGAGAACGAAAAAGGCCGAGAAAGCATCTTCTGAACTGAATGTGTCCCCCCCCCCCAAGAAATTCCACTGTGAGCTAGAGAAAGGCCATAGTGCGTAGGTCACTTGTCTTGCACAGCTGACCTGGGTTTGATTTCCTGCACTCCTTATAGTACTTGAGCCCTATCAAGAGTGATCCCTGGACACAGAGCCAGGAGTAAACCCTAAGCACCTTCAGGTGTGGCTCAGCCTCTCACTAACCCCAGCAAACAAACAAACAAACAAACAAACCTCTTAAGTATTCCCAATTCCTATTTGCTTTGGCAGCATATTACACTAAAATGGGAGTGACACAGAGAAGACTAACACAACTGCTGCACAGGATGATATGCAAATTCATGGAGCGGTCCACATTTAAAACAACAATTCTCATTGTGACTGCATCTGTAGAAAGAACCTTGAAGGAGGTAATAAAGGTGAATGAGGTCATAGAAGTGGGGCCTTAATCCGATGAGCCTGACAGACACTTTCCCCATCAAGAATGGTACCCAGTTAGGAAGTGGGAGAGATCACAGGGCTTTCTCTCAAGGTGCAGCCTCGGAGGAAAAGATACTCGAGGACCCAGGAGAAGCCAGGTGCAGAGGACCCTGCAGAAGCCAGCCTTGCGTACCCTGACTCAGACTTTGAGATGCAGAATTGTACAAAAGTGAATTTGTGTGTCTAAGCCACCCAGTCTGTAGTACTCTGTGATGCCAGTCCTAACAGAGATTAATACAGGGCTCTGCTCCTTTCTTTAATTTTCTTTATATTCAGCCGAGATCCCCTGCTGTCTAATTTTAAGGAATTCTGCTCAACATTCTGTCTCATCTCTATCTTTTGTTCTCAATCTTGTTCCTTTTCAATCATTTCTTATCATTTTTCGATTGCTGCACTTTTATTAAAATATAGTAATATACTCTTAAGATAAGAAATTGAAGAAAAGGGAAGTACAGTGTGATTTTGTTCTTTGATATGAAAACGACAGCTTAGAATTTTGATTTTCAACTAAAATGCTGAAATACCTTCGTTACCATAACATATTTGTTCTCCTCTTTATATTCTCTATGTTGTTTATCTGAACCCATTAGAGACGTGATAAATTTCCCTGTCGGTTTGTCAAGATTATCATTTCTATCTAGCAGAATTGTTAGTTTCTTTAGTAAGTATGAGGAGTAAAAGATTCTGTTTTCCTTACTCTGACCAGACAATGGAGGTACGGGGGTTGGGAAGAGAGGACTGAAAAGGTGTAAAGGCCAGTGGTGGAGGGATATTGGAACCCAGGTGATAGACATGGGGTGGTAACATTGTACCCTTAAAATATATAAACATTTACATTCTCAATTCCAATGCTACCTAAATAAAAATAAATTCTTTTTTTCTATATTACATGGCAATCATATGAGGTAGAAGATGGGTTACCCTGATCATCATCTTTTCAATATATCACGATCACGATCATCCTGTTGTTCTTCGATTGCCTCGAGCAGGCACCAGTAACATCTCCTTCATCCTAGCCCTGAGATTTTAAAGAGTGCCATATTCAAGGCTCTTTCAGGGTTAGAAGAATGAGACCCATCATTGTTACTGGTATTTGGCATATTGGGTACACCACGGGGAGTTTGCCAGACTCTGCCGTGTGGGCAGGTTACATTCGGTAGCCTGCCAGGTTGTCCAAAGAAAGAATGTGAGGAATGTCCTAAAAAGTTAAGCAGCCTGGATACCGAGGGTCAGAAATATCTGGGTTAGAGATATATTTATTTAAATAATATATTTAAAATATATATATTTCAATATGAGGTGAATGAGACCAGTTGTAGTTACTGGTTTTGGCATATCGAATACACAGCGGATAGCTTGCCAGGCTCTTCCGTGCGGGCGGAATACTCTCGGTAGCTTGCCAGTCTTTCCGAGAGGTAAGTTCAAGATGCCGCTCTGCTTAACGTTCATTGATTTAAAGAAGGCCTTTGATTCTGTTGAGACGGAAGCGGTCATTGAAGCCCTAGCCAGTCAGGGCATTCAAGCCCAATACATCAGGATCCTCCGTGAGCTGTATTGCGGATTCACTACCAGGATCTCACCATTCTACAAAGAAGTGATCGTTGATGTCAAGAGAGGGGTGCGGCAGGGTGATACCATTTCACCAAAACTCTTCAGTGCCACTCTCGAGAACATCATGCGACGACTGGAATGGGAAGGAATGGGAGTGAAGATAGATGGTCGGCAACTACAGCACCTCCGCTTTGCTGATGACATTGTTTTAATAACACCAAACATCAGCCAAGCGGCACAAATGCTGGCCGACTTTGACCGTGAGTGTGGAAAGGTAGGACTACAGCTGAATCTTACGAAGACAATGTTTATGAGAAACAGCCTTGTTCCTGACGCCCCATTTGCTCTCAATGGAACGACCATCTCCGAATGCAACAGCTATGTGTACCTAGGTCGAGAGGTCAACATGACAAATGACCTGGCACCCGAGCTGCGCAGGAGGAAGAGAGCGGCTTGGAACGCCTTCAAGAACGTCGAAGAAATAGCTAAGAGGACGAAGAACCTCCGGCTCCGGGCACATCTCTTTGATTCCACTGTTCTTCCTGCATTAACATATGCCTCAGAGACCTGGGCCCTACGCAAACAAGATGAGAACGCCATTCAGGTCTCCCAAAGAAGAATAGAAAGAGCTCTGCTTGGAATATCACGTTTCACTCAAATGAGAGAACGAATCCGGAGTTCTGACATCCGTCGACGATCAAGGATCAGGGACGCTGTCTCATTTGCCAAGGTGTCGAAAATCAGATGGGCTGGTCACGTAATGAGATTTAAAGACGACCGCTGGACTAGAGCTGTTACTGACTGGATTCCACGGGATGTCAAGAGACCGCGTGGCCGCCCACTTACCAGATGGTCAGACTTCTTTGTCAAGGTCATGAACGATCGGTTTGAGGCCCTCCATGTTCCCGGAGTGAAGAGATGCCATTGGGCTACACTAGCACGCGACAGGGACAAATGGAGACGTTACTGGCGCCCGCTCGAGCAAATCGACGACTAACGGGAAGTTAAGTGATTAAGTGATATTTCAATATATATGTCATTCATTTCTGAATAAAGCTGAGAAAATAATTTTCAAAGTATTTTGGGAGGATCCTCCAGCTGTTCCTGGGGCCTGAGGGCTACTCCTGGTGATTCTTACTTAACCAGCCCAGATGGTTCAGCACCAGGGTCAAAGGATGCAGAGCTGCTTGGGTCTCTGGGTCACAGTCCCACCAGGAACACCCCAGTGGTGGTTGGGAACTCCAGGGTGATACAAGTTGTGCTAAGGGGTGGTGTGTTGTGCCTGGGTTTGAATTCGAATCTTAAAGCACCATCTCTCCAACCCCTAGAAAAATAATTTTATAAAATTAATATTTCCTCAATACATCAGGATCCTCCGTGAGCTGTATTACGGATTCACTACCAGGATCTCGCCATTCTACAAAGAAGTGATCATCCATGTCAAGAGAGGGGTTCAGCAGGGTGATACTATTTCACCAAAACTCTTCAGTGCCACTCTCGAGAACATCATGCGATGACTGGAATGGGAAGGAAAGGGAGTGAAGATAGACGGTCAGCAACTATACCACCTCTGCTTTGCTGATGACATCATTGTAATAACACCAAACATTAGCCAAGTGGCACAAATCCTGGCCAACTTTGACCGTGAGTGTGGAAAGGTTGGACTACAGCTGAATCTCATGAAGACCGGGTTCATGAGAAACGGTCTCGTTCCTGATGTTCCACTCGCTCTCCATGGAATGAACATCTCCAAATGCAACAGTTATGTATATGTAGGTCTAGAAGTCAACATGACGAATGACCTGGCACCTGAGTTGCACAGGAGGAAGAGAGCGGCTTGGAACACCTTCAAGAGTGTTGAAGAAATAGCTAAGAGGATGAAGAACCTCTCGCTCCGGGCACATCTCTTCGATTCCACTGTTCTTCCTGCATTAACATACGCCTCAGAGACCTGGGCCCTACAAAAACAGGATGAGAACGCTATTCAGGTCTCCCAAAGAGGAATCGAAAGAGCTATGCTTGGAGTATCATGCTTCACTCGAGTGAGAGAAAGAATTCAAAGTTCTGATCTCCGTTGATGATCAAGAATCAGGGATGCTATCTCGTTTGCCAAAGCATCGAAAATCAGATGCTCTGGACACGTAATGCGATTTGGAGACTACCGCTGGAATAGAGCTGTTATGAACTGGATTCCATGGGATGTCAAAAGATTGTGTGGCCGCCCACCTACGAGATGGGCAGACTTCTTCGTCAAGATCTTGAAGGATCGGTTTGAGGCTGTTTGTGTTCCTAGAATGAGCAGACGCCACTGGGCTACACTAGCACGACATGGATGAACGACAGACGTTACTGGCTCCTGCTCGAGCAAATTGATAAGTAACGGGATGTCAAGTGATCAAGTGACCGATATTTCCTCATTTATTTTTATGAGGCTGGGGCTCAAATCCAAGGCTTCTTTTGGGGGGAAGGGGTGCTCAGGAGGCCTCAGACCCCCTTCCAGCAATTCTTGGCCAACCAGGCAGTGTGGTTCAGTGGGAGGCTAGAGGATGCTGTGCTACTCCTACCCTGTGGAGCCTGCAATTACCTGGCACTCCAGGACTGCACACAGAGATTCCCAGGGACCATGTGGTACCAGGGATTGAACTTGGGTCATTTGCATGTGAGGCATGTGCATTAACCACTGGTCTGCCTCTCCAGTTCCCAAACTTAGGCTTCTAGCACACAAGGCATATGCTCTTTTGCTGAATTGTAGCCTCAGCTCAAAGAAGAACTATTCAAAATATCATTGTTTCAATCCTAGCATGATCCCTGATACAGATCAATAAATACTTTCAAAGTTTATCCTGCAGGCACTGATCCTCACAACTCTCATGTTGGCAGTGAATTATTGTAACAGAAAAAATGCAAATGAGTCACTTTCCCTGAAATTGTTATGAAATTGTTATGACTGGCAGGGCTCAGAAGTCTCAGCCCACAGCTGGAAGTACTGGGCAAGAGGCACTTAGTGCCAGGAATCAGACCTAGGGCCACACACATGCAAGGCTCACATATGACTGTGATTCTTCTTTGTTTTTGTTTTTATTGTTTCGGTCACACCTGGTGGTGCTCAGACCTTACTCCTGGCTCTACACTTAGAAATCACTCCTGGTGGTGCTCGGGGGACCATATGGGATGTTGGGGATTAAACCAGGGTTAGCTGCTATTGCTCCTGTCCCAAAAATGTGATTCTCAATGTTCTATAAAACACTAAATGTGAAGTGATTTTTTGAGGGGGGTGAGGCACACACCTGCCTATACTCTGGGCTTATGCTTGGTTCTGTGCTCAGGAAT